CGGGCGCGGCGCTGCTCCGGGGTCGGGTCCGCGACGTCGCGGATAAAGTCGGCGTAGCCCGTGAAGCGGGCCATGTCCCAGAACATGATCTTGGCGGCCGTGTCGCAGAAGGCGAGGATGGGGTGCATCCCCCGCGTCTGCAGCATGCTGAAGCGCATAAAGAACTGGTGCCCGCAGCCCTTGATGGAGAACTTGAGCAGGCGCGTGTACGCGGCCGCGCACGTGTGCGGGCTGGCCGACGGCGGCACAAACGACGACCGCGTGAGCTTGGCCGGGTCGTGATTCGTAGGCGCGTCCGAGGCCGGCGGCGGCGGGTCGTGGGAGCTGAAGCCCTCGACCCGCCAGAGGACGATGGTGTCTTCGTGGCAGGCCTTTGAGAGGATCATGTCTCCGTAGAAAGCAACACTATTCATGATGTTTTTTTTACGAGGTCAACACCCTTCTGTTTTCTTCTCTTCCCCTTTTGTATAGCAGCACAACCGCAAACAACATGAACTTACCAGTCAACCAATCCGGTGTGCAGCTCTGATGTCGAAAAGTGCGGGTAGTAATTAACAATCGGCTGGTCGACATGGCCTTTGGGGAGATCCGGCAGAGTCCACTGTGCACTCATCCATGTCAGTACGGATCAATCCATATCCAGACAGACGGGAGTTCCAAGCGCTCCATTTCCGCATACCAGATTAACGGTGGTGTCATGGCCAGCGGACAGCACATATCTGCCGGTTTGGTGAAATGCCTTGGAACATCCTTGTCAGCTTGTAGCAGGTTTGGGAGGGTCAGGGGAGAAGCTTGGTTCCAAATACTGACCACACTCAGGAGATTCCAGGAGTGGCCCTCGCCTCCAAGAATACACACACAGGGCTGCTTCGCATGAACGGGATCAAGACTCCAGATGCGGACGGTGGTATCGTCCGAGGCTGATGCTATGATCAAAGGATTGTCGGGCGAAGTAGCGAGATCGTTGATTTCCTAAAATGGCGTTAGTCTGTCCACAGAGCCTCTCACGCCGTTGCGGCAGACGATATCATAACGCCAAGATATACTTACACCTCCATGGCCAACGAGTGTCTAGAGTCACACAGAACGGGCATGTTAGCTGCCATTCACCCTTGGTTTCGCGAGCGGACTCTCACCTTGAACAGAATCCCTTTAACAACGTTGTAAATTTTGACCTTGCGGTCCCTGCCACTGATGGCCAGGTATGGAGCCTCTGTGACGGCATCTTTGGTCCAGGTGCAGGAGCAATTCACGACTCCGTGCTATTTTTCGGCAGTGGTCAGTGAACCAAAGTCCCAGGGTGTACAGGGTGAAATATGGGGTATGCTATTTCAGACTCACATCGTCATCTCTGATGACTTTGATGATCTCGCAGGGATTCGTTTCCTTATCCGTGGTGGGAGTGACGCGACAGATGACCACCTGGTAGAAGGCACAGCCTTGTGAGTTTGCGGTGACATTTTTTTTCGCGGGTGGGCCAGCTGCATTTGGTGTCACACCTTATACTTACATGCTTCTTGCCCACAGCCGCAAAGATGTGAGGCGAGCCTGGCGGGTTGTAGGGGTAGAACTTCACATCAAAGAACTCTGGGAAGCGATTCGCACGTTAAAATCGTGGCAGCCGTGAAGTATACTACAACAGAACTGACCTCCTGGATCACGACTGTCGTCGTCTAGCAGGCGGTGGTCGTCCTATCACGGGAGGGAAGTGAAAACGGACGACAGGTTAGCACTACGACCTGCAGCTTTAGTGGTGTGTGGCTATGGCCTATAGCCCAAAAGCCAGGCACAGGATGCTCACCTCGAACCCGAACGACGCGCGCAATTTGGGGAGCTCCCACTCGTCGGGCACTTCCGCGGCAAGCATCGCTCCTTGTGCCTCAGTTGCCGGGTTGCGGTCGCGGCCCTCTCCCTTGGCCTGGTTGTTGCCGCGGATAGGGATGGACAGGGCTACACGCTCCATGCCGTGCTGGGTGCTCTTCGCCATTAGCTGAAGCATTGCTGGGTGGGGCTGGCCGCCGTTTGGAGAGGTTGCGACCCACTCTTCGACAGACGCGACTCTGGTCCGGCGCCGTCTACGACCCCCTGTTTCCTGCGGCCGTATAAGTCGATGTAAATCTACGAGGAATACCAGAGAAGACACGTCGGCGAAGAAGAAAAATCCATATCCCTAGCAATGCGCAGAAGGCAGTGCATGCCCAAAGAGAACTCGCAGAGTTAATTTTTATATCAGCGTCGGTGTTTTGTTTGCCAGGCTGTTTGCTGTGTGCTCTTCGACATGTTGCCTTACAAAGCCAGGAGGCAACATTCACAACAAACGAGCCAGGCGGCTGCCCAGCGCAGACAGACAAATCCAACAGGGTGCGCGCGTGATCTCTTCCCAGCCGCTTCAACCGTGCCATGAGCGAGCGACAACAGTTGTGGCAGGATCCGTCGGTGACGGGGCCTGGCGCTGACCGAATGCTCGTGATGCACGCCCTGATAGACATGTAAAGCAGTCGGTTATATCCTGATACATCAAGGCCCCTGGGTGCCTGGTGGTGAGTCTCCAGCCACGCGCAGGTTGGGGCCCCCTTCCTGTGCCAAGAACCCCCATGGCAAAACGTGTCAGGGGCTCATCCCTGGCCCGCGCGCTTGACCGCACCAAAAATACATCGTCAAACAGATCGATGGGATCACATCCACCAACGTCTCATCAATGGCGGAACTGAGATGGCTGGCAGCATCGGATCTCCCGCCGCCGACGATATATTTTGCAATGGAGTCGGCGATGGACTTGAAGCACGTCGATCCGAGCAGAACCCGAGGCCCGTAGCCAAGAGGGCTGGAGGGCTGGTGCAATGGTACCTCACTGTTGTGACTGCAGCTGCAACGGGGACGATTCTCGAGCATGGGTCAGTCTCAATCAATATACTAGCGCCAATGAACGGCAGTCGATGCGTGCTCCAACGGGGTTTCTAGAGATCGTGGAGTTGTGGCTTGACATCCTGGGCTTGACAGCCGGCATGGCGTTTTGTCTTTCTTTTTTATTTTCGGTTACGCCTGGAATACATGGGTGAGTGAGGGCTGGGCTGTGTGTCCGGTTGGCGTGTTCAGCAACAAAGGATCATACAGGGCCATTGAAGTCATCGGCAGACGCAACAATGAAGAAAAGTCACGATCAGGAATCACAACGAAGTGGACCTGGTCTGGTCCACAGTTGCATTCGCCTGGGTCCCTTGAACACGACTCGAGAAGTGGATGTGGTAGAGAAGCGCGATTGAACGCCGGCTAGAGACCATTGAATGGCACAAATGGGCAAAGTGATGGCAATCCCGACGAGCGACGGCAGCTGCGGCGCTGGCGGATCCTTGTTGGATCCATGTTGGCGGGCGCGGGAACGGTCCTTGACCAATCCTGGTGCCCCTCGCAGCGCCCAAGCCAATGGGGAGCGTGTTGCCGTCCCGCTCCAGCAATCCATGGGTCCACAACGCTGCGGATAGCGGGAGCAACCCCAAAGAATGCTTTGAGCCGAACCCCACCCACCTCCCAAATCGATTCCGTCGTCGCTGGATGCAGAAGGAAAGCCGCTGGCCCCGTAATTGGGGCCCAGAACGATGGCTCTGTCTCGCAAGCTTCTCCCAGAAAAGAAGCCCTGACGGCAATTCAGGGCTCTGGATCCCAACGGATGTCGGCCCTTGACCTGGTCATGTGCCATTTGTTGAGCTGTGCAGCCGTGGAAGTGGCAGTCCTATGTGCATCAACGTGACCACGCGGCATTAGGGGAAAGAGAACTTACGGGCGTACGAGCTTCCTGTCTTGCACCAGCACAGTCCAGCAACTGTTGCTTCATGGAGTAGGTCCGTTTGGATGTCGCCAGACGTCCAAGAGCGCGACACCTACACCGCAGAACTACTCCGTATGTACATCGACATATGAACAAATTACACACCCAAAGCAACCAGAGCGAACGGGTCAGCATCAAATGATGCAACACGCGCCATGAAATTGCCCGAGGGCCACAGGGAAAGCTGCAAGCAACGACCCCTGTCGACGAGCTGCAGGCGGACATGAACGGGCAAGCAAGCGATTGACGGATGAGCCCTGGCCAGGCTGATATGCCCTTCCATGCCCGCATGGCCCGCACGCCGAATTTAAAGTGGGCTGGTGCGGTCCCGAGTGGAGGGCGAGGCAGCGGGTGTCGCAATCAAGGCAGCAGCAGATGGACGGGGTGTGGTTGATGATTGCAATTGCTGGCTGTCAAACAATCGCATCGCGGTTTGTTTTCCCACTTCCCACTCCAATTGTGTTGGGGGCACTCTGTGACTGCTCCACGTCGCGTCCTTGACGGGCCATCAGCTCGCGTCCGTGTCCATTCTCGTCAGCGGACCAGGAACCGATCGCTCCTCACTGGCCTCGGGCGTTTCTGGGTTGTGAGACACCCAGGGCCCGCTGCTGGCTCGAGGGGTTGGATGCGAGCCCAGAACCAGCAAAAAGCCGGAGCCTTGGTTTGATCTGCCATAATACAACCTACCCCAACCTCGGCGCCATCGACGCTGCCATCCAAACAAAAAGACGTCCCCTGGCTTGGGCCTGGGAAAATATATTGCGAAAAAGGGCTTGCTTTACTACTTCATCCGTCCTCCTTCCTGCTATTAGGCAGTGGCCCGCCCCCCTCGTCTTCACCCAAGCAAGCACCACCCCAACAAGCATCCTTCGGCGGCTCGTCTCCCGGGCACGGCAGCAACACACGCAAACATATCCATCTATCCGCTATCTGAACCAAGCCGCTCGCTGTCGTCTGTGTCCCAGCTCTCCGGCTTCCCTCGCCTTTTGATACCAATCCGTGTTGGACAGAGGTTGGTCCCAGAAAAACAGGACAACGGCCGGCTGTACAACATTGTGTCTGCCAACCCAGGAAAGGAAAAAGGCAAGCCACCTCGTGCCGTCGCGTGAGACCTGTCTCAGAAACTCTACCGAACGGCCAGGACACTCGCCGTCCCAAGCAGAGTACCAGGCGGGATCTGTGTGTGACGCTGGGCCTCGGCTGGCGAACGAGCGAACGCACTTGGCCGCCCAATCGTCCTACCTTCGCTTACAGCCCCCTCTGGGACCTCGCGGACTGGTCCGGCAAAGGGCACGTACGCCGTCGGCCCTGACTCCCCTCTTCCCGGCCTTGCACAGGTGGAGGGACGGACTGCACACCAGTGCTCGGCAATCCGCACGAGAGACTAGGAAGACAAGCGCACGATCCACTTTTACGCACGTCTCGGGCCCTTCTGTCCATATTCCCAGCATCCCGGGTAGTAGGGACAGCGTATCCGCCACGGCCTGCCCTACCCTGGACAGCTGGAGCGTCCAGGACACTAAATCTTGACGAATGTGCGTTTTCATCCGAGGTGGACTTGGTCTCGCTTGACGACGGACCTGCTTTGTAGTCCTGGGGGCCTCGCCACTTCAACTCTTCGAGCCAGCTTTGGAGATCGAATGAGACGGACCTGTGCCAGGGCTGCTCCATAACCGACACCGATAGTGGCAGCAGCCACCATCCCACAATCCCACAATGGAGCAGACATTCATGACAATTCAGAGTGAGTCTACTTGGCACTAGTGCTTTTTCATGTCTTGGACGGCGAAGGGGAAGACACATCGGAGAATTGTACCTCGCTGACGCCATCTTGTCATATTTGTTCTTAGATCTTACACCGGATGCCAATGTCCTGTTCGTTTCCGAGTCCATCGTGGACATACTGGGATACCAGCCCCAGGAGGTGTTCGGAAGGTCATGCTTTGATTTCTTCCACCCGGACGAGATACCCTTTGCGCGCTCTGTCCATAGCCGTGGCATTCTGCTCGACAAGGCTGCGGTTCTCCATTACGCACGACTGAGGGGCCGTGACGGCCAGTGGGTCAGCTGCGAGTGCTGCTTTACAGTCGTCCACGATGTCCTGGTGGCTTGCACCAGCATCTACCGTCGCGGTGTTAAAAGCGAGAGTAAGCCGACCGGCCACCTTGATCTCCTTGACCAGTTCTCGACTCTAACCTGTGACGTGACAGGGAGGGCACTTGAGGCACCTCAGATTCGACGGATTTTCTCGTGCTCGCCGAGGGATCCACGATATCATATGCTGGAGCACTTGTCGCCCAAGTTCCGCATGCCAGCCATGGAGCGAGAACCGAGGGCGGCGCTCATCCTGAATCGTTTCACACGCAGTCTCAACATCATGTATGCCACAAACGCCGTCTCGACCATCCTGGGCATAGCGCCTGACGATATCAAGAACACGAGCTTTTACGACTGCATTCAGGAGAACTGCCTGCCCGACGCAGTCCGGTGTCTCGAGAGTGCCAAAGCCAACGACTCAATTGCCTATCTGCGCTTCTGGTTTCGGGACCCGAGGGTTGGGGATGACATGATGGATGATGACCAAGACGAAGAGGACGACGAGGACGATGATAGCGATTCCGAAAACGGAGGGGTCCAACTCTCCTCAGAGATGGATATCGACTCAGATGGCCGCAGTCCCGCTGGTGGGTCGCGAGAAGTCGCGCAGCCACCGGCTCCGGCAGGGAGGGCCCCGGCTGGCGGCCAGGGGGGACGGAGGAGACAGCTGGGCGATGGCATCGAGCTCGAGGCCGTTGTGTCGTGTACCTCGGATGGCCTGGTCGTTGTGCTGCGCAAGGCCCGCCCTCCGATCCCGACACCACACCCTCCGCAGGTGCCGCACGTCTCTCACAACCTTGCACAGGATAGCGGCATGTTCGCTGCGCCCTGGGGCCGTGAGGTCATACGCCCACAGCCACATGCAGACCTGCCACCGGAGCTGCTCTACATCTTCAGGCCACCCCTCATGCCGCAGTACATGCCGCTCCGCGACAGCGTCAAGGAGGCGAGTGGGCCCTCGATTGACCAGTTCATGGGGTCGATAAGGGACGTTGCCGTGTTTGCCTGGGCGCTTGTGGGGATCAATGGCAACTTCGCCTCATACGGCCGGGGCGTTCCGTCTGGCGAGTCCCAACCGCCAGACGGCTTTCCGGTATGGGACCCGAAGGCCGGCGACATGCCATACCTCGGCCCTGAAAACCAGGCGGCGCTGAAGTGGGCTCGGCTCGGCAAGGTCCCCGAGGATGGCAGACCGCACCCAGACATGGCGGCTGCTGCCGCCGCTGCGGCTTTCGGATCCTCGTCCTCGTCGCAGGGCGGCGTATCGTCATCGGGGGCTTATAGCACGGGAGGGTCGATGGGGCACGCTACCGAGGTGGGCCATCCGCAGCACGGCTACGGACAACCGACAGGAACATGGCAGCAGCACCAGCAATACCCGCCTCCGCAACAGACAGACTACCAGCAGCAGCGGCAATACACGCCACCACACGTTGAGCCTCAACACGGGTACGGGAGCTGGCAGCCAGAGGCCGACGGCCTGCCTCGAGACGCTCCGTGGCGGCAGGCGGACAGTGCCCACAACCCGGCGAGCGGCGTTCCGACGACGCAGGCTGGGAGTGGCTCTGGCCATCCCAGCCAGCGTTTCGAGTGGCAATGAATGGATGGATAATGATGGGCGCGTATTGAACTTTGGATTTTGTCGACGTTGCAATAGAAAACGATACCCACTTGGCTGATGTTTGTTTGTTTGTTTGTTTGTTTGTTTGTTTGTTTGGGTACTTGGTATACTCGGAGTTTTATGTAATATCTCATGGATATAAGTGCCTAGGTATCTTTGCGGAAGAGAAACAGATAGGGTCAACACCGTAAACTAAATTATAATACTCGTATTTCTTGGCCACAGTCGAGAGGTGGTGTTGTTATTGGAGTGTAAAAGCACATGCCTATTCGGTACCCTCCAGTCAGTGTCACTTAGAACAATGGGACCGGTTCGGACCCACTTTTAGCACCCGCCAAGGAGCTTGGACCACCTATGCTGGCGTCACGGCTGAGGCAACGTGGATCTGGCCCGAGGCGCAGTGTCCACCTCCCCCTCCCATCAACAGCGATTCCTGGGACGACGACGACGACCACGAGCACTAACGACATACTGCGTGATACACACACACACGCACGCCTCTCAGCATACTGTCTGGCGTACCATATCTTCCATTAGCAGAAGCTCAGCATGGCCACTCACAAGCCGTACGACCAGGTATCCAATGTTGAGGACGATGACCTGATAGACCCCGATGATGGTGCGTAGAGCCTGGTCCGCCCGATTCCGCCACTTCTCGCCGAGTTCCGGAAAAGAGCCGCCCTTTCCCCTCTCTTGGACAAGCTTTGTGCTGACAATCGGCGTTGATCCCCCTCCTAGCCGACCTCAACGAGTTCGACGACCCCCTCGGGAACCAATCATCGTCCTCGCGCGCCCCCCTGACGGGCAACATCGGCAGCAGCAGCAGCAGTGGCGGCGGCGGCGGGGCCTCGGGCTCGCGGCGGGCGCCGCTCAGCGAGAACTACCTGACGTCGCGGATACCGGGCGAGGACCGGGCGGCGGCGCAGAACACGATCGACGAGTCGGTGTGGGATACGGTGCGGCGCGACCTGCTGGCGGTCTGGGGCAAGATGCGCGAGGTGCTGTACCCGCGCTACCTCTTCGGCGGCACCATGTTCGAGTCGTCCGAGGGCATCCGCGGCGCCTACGCGAACGTGCGCACGGCGGGGCTCTCGGGCACCCGCGACGAGCTCGCCGGCCTGGCCGGCCGCGTCCTCGACCCGGAGACGCTGCTCAACCAGAGCAACATGACGCCCGGCCTGCGCGACTGGGACCTCTGGGGCCCCCTCATCTTCTGCCTGCTGCTCAGCCTGCTGCTCAGCTTCAACGCCACGAGCGCCCAGAAGGACGTCGTGTTTAGCGGCGTCTTCGCCATGGTCTGGATCGGGGAGGCCGTCGTGACGCTGCAGATTAAGCTCCTGGGGGGCAACATGTAAGCAAACTCGGTCGCGTATCTCCCTGCTTGGCCAGCTCCCCCCCCTGCTGACACTTGTCCACCCCTCCCGCAAAACAGCTCCTTCGCGCAGAGCGTCTGCATCATCGGCTACACGCTGTTCCCGCTCGTCATTGCGTCTCTGCTTTCGGCCTTTAACCTCTACTGGGTTGTCCGCATCCCCGTCTATCTGGTGCTCATTGGCTGGGCCATGGCCGCGGGCGTGAGCATCCTAGGCGGGAGCGGCGTCGTCAACAACCGGGTTGGCCTTGCCGTATACCCGCTCTTTGTCTTTTACCTGGGGCTAGGCTGCTTGTGCTTCATCAGCTATCCCGCCCCGAGCTGAAAATTTCGCTTGGTTCGGTGTTGCTTCCTGGGGATTGTGGCCTGGAGGGTGTATCAGTGCAGTGACTTTTCTTCCTTGTTCTTTCTAAGCTGTTGTGAGCTGTACGATCGCCAGATTCCCAGTTATGGAACCAAAATGGAACGTCGGGTCTTTTTGCTAAATTCTCATGCTTCGCTATCATTTCAGCGGTAGACGGCGGCTCAATGACATGCAGTCCTTCTGTGCGTTTGTGCTGCGCTTTGATTTCAAGTAGGCACTGGAGAAAGTGACGAACCCCCAAGTGGGACACCAGACAGCACAGGTGGCCACAGTCTGACGAGAGTCTGATATCAATATCAAGACGAGAGCGAGGTGGAGCCTCGTGCCCGTGTTGCTCCTGCCTGCTGCTGCCTGGCCCCAGACCATCTGATATAAACGTCCATCCGACTGCTGTAGTCATCGAACCCGGACACTTAAAGATCGTGCGCTTTGGTGTAATGGTTAACCGTAGCCGTTGAGCCCTAATTTAACAGATTTGGGAGCACGGGTTCGATCCCCCGTATGGGGTGCGGAAAAAAAAACTTCGAAGAAAACCATATTAACCGGATGGTTTTCGCAACTGCTACACCCTGCGGTCGG